TTTTTTTTTTTTTTTCCCATACAGATTTACATCTTTGAATTCGCTGAGCTGGTTTATTATTCGTGAGATATTGGTTATGATTTCTCTTATTTTTCTCTTCTATCTTGAAGGGTCATTGGAGATTTCCAGGTGGAAAAGAAATACAAGGTTATGCCTACATCTTAACTCACCCAGGAACTCCATCAGTTTTCTACGATCATATTTTTTCTGAATATCAATTTGAAATAGCAACACTTATCTCCATCAGAAACCGGAACAAAATCCACTGTCGGAGCACGGTAAGTTGTGGATGTTTTCATCATCGTGTATTTTACCTTTCCTCATAGTGGGGTTTTGCTTTACTTTGTCATATGTTAGATTTTCTAATGATATGTCTCGAGCCAAAGTTGCTCAACAAAAACATTAGTAGTATCTCATGAGAAATATGAATTAATTTAGCCATATCTATTAGCACCCCACACTTTGATTTACTTTTCCGATTTCCATATAGCCGTAATAAGTACTGACGACTGCCTATTTTTCATTCGACATATCTTTATCTTAGGTTCAAATAGTGAAGGCAGAGAGAGATGTTTATGCAGCAATGATTGACAAAAAGCTGGCAATGAAAATTGGACCAGGTCATTACGAGCCTTCAAATGGATCCCGGAACTGGTCATTAGCAGCTGAGGGAAGAGATTACAAGATCTGGGAAGCATTATAACAGAAATCAAAACAGCTTTGTCTGCATCCCAACCACGTTAAGTTTATCAAAGAATGCTTATTGCAGATTTCTTCCACAAACTAAAACGATACTCTGAACACGTAGGATGCTACATTTATTCAAAGTCGCCGTTTCTATTTTGATCGAGCTTTCTGCTTTTAATAAGTGGCCCACACCAGAATTTTGACAGAACTTATGATAAAATGAGAGATTGATGTTTGAGGCAGGAGAATAAAGTAGTATATGTTAGAAGATCCGAGGGTTGGTTCATAGTCCTCTTAATCTCTTATACACTATAGATTTATATATAATACAGTTGTATATATACATTGTAATTATATTACAGTGCCTTGTAGAAACAATTTAGCCAGAAAGTTATAGTAGTGAAAGTTAAAGTAGTTGAAGAAATTGAGATTTCATGGAAACTTGATGCTTTTTCTAATATTCATGAAGAAAATACGTGTTACAGATAACCTTGTCAAATGGGGACTTGTCTCGAAATATAATTATGTTAAACCATTTCATATATTGTAAGAGAGGAGCCATCCAAATTATCTTCAATACAGCCTCCCCGTGCATTTTGAATTCATTTTTCATCAAAAGCATGTCATGCACAATCTTTGATAAATGGGTGACCACAAAATTTGGAAACACATTTAAGAAATTCTTCACATTTATCGGATAACCAACAAAATTATTTATTCTAAAACTTTTAAGTAAATTATTTTAAGCTTAAGCAAACATGCTACAGCTCGCCCTCTTGTTCTTCAAAAGACCTATCTTGTGTTTGGTACTGCATGATTTCACTCTGCAAGAACTCCGAATCATTCTCTTGAAGCTTA